ATGTTTATTGCAAAACTCATTTTTTCTCATGGAGCAGCTCATGCTCTCCTCCAAGCAATCCTTCCTCGGGACTGCTGATGTAGGTGCGTGCAAAAATCTTCAGTAATCATATTTTCTTAGGTAATGAATCCTAATTACCATAGATGGGATCAATAGTTTCAAATCACATGCAGTTGATTAGCCTATCAGATGGACTACTACCAGCAAAATTTAGCTTGGTTTTAGCATAGTTATTCATCATGACATCAGATACATGAATGATACTTTTGTGCACTATTCTGGGAATTAGGGAATATTACTATTGGTATTATTTGTTGTTTATACACTGTGTACTTGTTTTTAACTAGACATCCAGTTTTTTGTTTTTGTTTTTGTTTTTGTTTTTGTAGGTTTGCATGTGGATTCTCATGTCATTTAAACTACCTGAATAGACTAGACTGAATCCCCCCCCCAAAAAAAAAGAAAAAAAAAGTAACATGTTAAACTTGTTTGGAATATAAACAAAGAAAACTAAATCAGGATTGCATGCACTGTAATAGAAGAAAATGTGGAGATTCTTCACCAAACATGATATCAGGTTTTGTGTGTTGATCTCATTTTATCCAAGATGTAGTTAGCTAATTGAATACAATTATGGGATGTATGTTGTGTAATGATGATTGGTTATATTTATTGACACTTACTATAAGTAAACTTCAAGTTATGATAAAAAGTAACTTATAGAGCCCATTGATGATTATAGCATGGATTATTAAGGTTCGGTATATTTTTCAGGCCACTGTAAGTGAAATAGATAGCATGTTTAGTACATTCATTTTTTAGATAGTGAAACCTTTTATACAGAAAGGTAACCAAAAACAATCTGTTGGTGAAAAATATTTTAGTCCACACAATTTTAGTACAATAGAATAAAAATCTTTGAGGCTAGAAGTTTAAAGAATATAGATGATTTCACTCAAATGAAGAAAGTAAGTGAATGCAGTGTTAGGTGAAAAGTAATAGACAGTGATTTAGTGATAGCAGCTTTAAATATAGGCATTGGTGATAGTTACCCTGATTCAAGAATGAAGTCTAGTGCATTATGTGTTGTATGATGCCCATCCTTGCATAGACGGTCAGTTTTATAATTCTACATACATTTCTGAAAATTAAGTTGCTTTAAGAATTTTTTGAGATCTTTGTCTTATACTACTTGATGAACTATATGTACATTATAACCTTAACAGCTGAAACAGTAATAGTGCTCAATGAACTTTGAATTCTAGATGTCTGACATTTCATCTGTGGATGCAAAGGTTTGAATATATATTTTTAAATTTAATATTCATCCATTAGTTCTAAAAGTATTATTGAAGAGAAAGGAAAATCGTGTTTAGTGACTTACAGCAGCATTAATTTTAGGAAGGTATGATAATAGTTTTATTATTGTGAATTTCTGGACTCACCTGAGGTAATAATTTGAGTAATTGACTGTACAGTTTCTCTAAATTGGTGAAGGACGTAACAATATTAACTGATGTAATTGTACGTAAAACCAGATATTAATAAAGAAATATTTTACTAACTGGAAGATGACTGCCTAAGAAAAAACAGGCATTAAAATACTGGTACTGCTATTCATGAAGTTATGAGCTAGTGATGGGAAACTTCAAGCAAAGTTTCACAAAATGGCTTGTTGCTGTCATCTCTGGAACCTTGTTTTTATATATATTTATTTATTTATTGCACATTTGTCATTCATGATTCATTATTCATGGTATTGTTTTGTTTCTTCTCTTAATTGCTTTCGGCAAACTGTGGTGGATTCTCTAAGTAAGTTTCCACTTATATAATACTCTCTCTATGAAAATATTTTGATGAATTCCATATGTGCTTTTTAGAATGCATATGGCAACTCTCGTCACAAGTCTTACACTCAGTAGATGAATATCCAGAAGTGTACTTACTTTTTGAGTGTTCATGTCTCCCATGCATGATTTGTTCCTCTTTGCCCTCTGGCTCTAAATAGTGACTACCTAAATACTTTTCTTATGTCATGATCATGTATTAACATATCTGTTTCTTGTGAATTATGATAATTCCAAGATAAATGTAATATAATTGACATTCACTATGAATGTTATTTTAATAATTTATTTAATTTATTTATTGAATTATTAAAAGAATATCAGGACAGGAAATCTAATAGTAAGCTTAGAACTGCATGATTGTTATTCATACCAATCAATGTGCAATGATTCAAAATGGTGAGATTTCATACTGTCCATGGGTTTTAGAAATTTGATTTCTTATACTGAAGATATTTAATGCCTTTGTTTCATTATCTGTTAGATGAGTATTGGGAGGCTAAGTACAGTTTACTAAACTTATTAGTAAACTAAATTTTGAAATGCAGTAATGAAATACGTAGACAAAATTAAGCAGATATTGGACAGAGAGTATCCAAATTTCATACATCTTGAAATAAATATTTTTCTGTACATCGGTATATCTCATGGATGAGATGACTTATTAAACATGCACTTAAGTACTGAGACAAAAGTGTATAAGAAATAATATTTAGGTATTAAGGATTGGTTATCACTGAAAAATGTTTTGTTAGTCTCCCACACTTGGCTTGGATGTACTTCATAAACATCAATCAATATTATTTTCTCCTTTCATTATCAGGATTCATGATTTCATGTTGTTTGATGTGCTGATCCAAAATATTTATGCATTGTTGATGATAAAGTAAGTACCTACTGAATTTTAATGCAAAAAAAAGAAACAGTTTATGAGATCATTGAAGTTGATTGTTTAAGTTTGTAGGCTATATTCAGCATTCTCAGTGAAACATACCCTAAGGGCTATTGAGAAGATCTGTAACAGTGGTTTTGAATCCTTTTCCGCTTGTGGCTCCCTTCTCAAACCTCTGGCACTTTCGGAACTACATAGTCTTAATCCATTCGCGACGGGGAAAATGGGGAAAGTGCTGTGCTCATTTTTTATATTTTTTGTGAAATGTCTCTACACACAGATAGCTCTGCCTTACCTGATTTCACCTTTCCTTGAATTGGCAGGAAAATGTATTTTTTACTAGTGCTATGAATATTGATGGTGTTATTTTTATTATAAACATTATAATTACTATAATGTTATAAACAATAGTAATAGCAAGATAAGATAACATAAAATATTTTCGTAAATTAAAGAAAAGGGTAAACGGGCAAGACAGGCAGTACTCGTAACTGGCTCATTGGTGTTTTAGTAAAAGTGTAGCCATCTATGTGTAAAAACAATAAAAACAAGTAAACTCACAGTAGGCATGTCACATATATATGACAGCCTGGTGCGAATGGGTTAAGCTAAGCAAAAAAAGTAACTACAGTATTTATTTACTTAATACAATATTCCTTGAAAGACATAGCTTTAAAGTATATTCTTAACATGATCACGGACAAACACCCAGCTTCTCAACTTCTGTAGTAATGCTATACAACCCCCAAAGGGTTTGCAACCTGCTGTTTGAGAACCAATGATCTATAAAGATATTAAGATGAAGATTCTAGAAAATGACTGAATCCTTTTACAAAAAGAATGTGGCTTTTATTGCTATTGTTTCTCAGTGACACAGGAATAATGTTAACCCAATGCCGCCGGGTATGATGTGTATGTACGTGCTTTGCCCACCGTGAGTACTTGTTTGATTTTTTTTTCACATAGATGGCAACACTTGTACTAACTCCCCAATGAGCCAACTACAAGTACTGCCTGTCTCGCCCGTTTACCCTTTTCTTTGATTTACAAAATATTTAATGTCATCTTATTTTGCTGTTACTGATGTTAAAAAACATTATAATAATCATAATGTTTATAATAAAAATAACACCATTGATATTCATAGCACTTGTGAAAAATACGTTTTTCCTGCTATTTGAAATCAGGCATTAGCAGAGCCATCCATGGGCAAACAATTCACAAAAAATATAGAAAATGAGCACAGCATTTTTCCCATTTTTTGTTCATTTTTCCTGGTGGCATTGGGTTAAAGAATTTTGTCTTATTATCTCTTCAAAGCCACAAAATATTAAATTCATATATCTTACTTGGCCTATTTCTTCTTTTTTTTTCATTTCTTGGTAGCTGTAAATGATTAAAAGATGTACTGTTTAAAGACTGTATATATAGTCTGATTCATGATTTAACATTCAGTTTCCTGAAGTTAAAAGTGAATATAGATGATTTTTTAAAGGAACATACATATGCTACATGAGCACATCAAAGTATAACCAGCAATAATGATATGGAGAAAATAACTTCCTTTGTGTTTTGATTTCATAGTTACTGCATGAGAGTGATTCAATATTCTCTCTATAAGTGTACTTTGTATTATTTGTGTCTGTGCACTTAATAGTGTATATATTGATAAAGGATTAACATTATAACAGTCCTTTTTTTTTGCAAAGAGAGTCTCTGTGGAGCATTTTGTTTTATTTATGAGATATTGCCATGACCCTCTGTTAAACACTTAATTATAGATCATCATTAACAAGACAGTAATTTAGCTATTCATACTAAAATGTATATTTAACCCTTAAAGTAATATAGTTGCATTTTTCCCATATATAATGAATGGTAAATAATTTACTATAACTTGCTAATGTATTTGCAAGGCAGGATAAGTATGAAGAGTCACAATTATAGAGATACATGCTGTCACTGCTGTCTGTACCACTGTATGCCAATGCGTATGCACATATCAACATGCACATACACTCTTAATTTTACACACACACACACACACACACACACACACACACACACACACACACACACACACACACACACACACACACACACACACACACACACACACACACACACACACACAGACACGCAACACACACACACAGACACGCAACACACACACACAGACACGCAACACACACACAGACACGCAACACACACACACAGACACGCAACACACACACACACACACACACACACACACACACACACACACACACACACACACACACACACACACACACACACACACACACACACACACACATACATACCACCACCCCTTCACATGCACTCACATTTACTAGACACATTATTGAATGAGTATCACTCATTAGAATTTATATTACCTCTTGATAATCATTTGCTTATGTTTCAGAAATGGACGTCACTTGTACCACAGCGATGGGATGGGGAGTATAGGAGGAGGAAGTGGGTCGGCCCCTGCAACTGTAAGTACCATGGGCCGTGGCGACAACCACCACCATAACCACCACCACCACACACATAGTCACAGTCATAGTCATTCAGTGGGTCCCAACCAAGGCCAGTATGCTACTCTCTCCAAACAGTGCAAGACCCTCGAATCATCTGACTTCTACTAAAGGATATTGGCCACTTAACTAACAGCATGGCTCTCTTCATGGTATTGTTGGACTCAGTATTTTGCTGTAATTTTAAGATTGTCTTAGCACATAAAACCTTAATCTTCCATGTGTAAAGAGAAAGATCTGCTACAGGGAAGCATGTGGAAAAGTACAATGTCTTAAAATGGATTATTTTTTTTTATTTATTTATTTTTTTTTTGTGGAAGTGGTTTAGAGTTATTGAGCATCTGATGAAAGATGAAGTAACACCTTTGCCCTTTGAAGAGGATAATGCCAAATAGAAGTTAAAAAAACACAAAGCCAAAAGATGTTCACACTCTTGGATATTCCTCAGTCATTGGTCATTAGGTGTGATACATTCATTGTTAATACCCATTGCTTCCATGACTGCTATAAGGGCATGAATTTGTTAATGAATACATAAATATATTTTCAACTTATCTGCATGTGTCCCTGAAATATTTCAATACTGGATGGTCTTACTTCTCATCTGTGGTGTTAATTCTCAGTATAGGAGAAACCAGGCATATTTCTTCCCAAGGTTATCTTTATGTTTTGTAAAAGGAAACATTATGTTAGCTACATTAGGGATTTGTTTTGTTTTGTTGTATTTAAAAATTTAATGCACTTATATGCTTATACATATATATATATTTATATATGCACACAAACAGACATGGACTCAAACATGAGCATGCAGACAAAGACAGGCACACAAACACATAGAAACAGATATATGCAAACACACTGGCACTCAATGCATAAATCTATGTACTTATATGGAAATACACAGATTACAAACCTGCATATACACATACACATACAAACCTATGTACTTATATGAAAATGTACATATTGGTGAAATTTTTATACACTTTTTTTAATAAAAAAGATTTTTTGTAAAACTATATCATAATATACGAAACACACACTTCTATTTGATATAAATACGTTTTTAATATGTTTACTATATTGGGATAAATATAATAACATTTGTATGTGGGTGACCATAAGGAATAACCATTTATTATCTTATTTGTCTGTCTTTCTATGTACTGTATATGTACATGCTTTCATATTTTACACATGGGATGGAATAAACATACACACAGGAACACAGATTGTATAATATGCACAAGCTTAGAAATTTGAGTCCTATCTCAAAGTTAAAAAAAAAATTCTTGCTCATTGTGAATCCAGTGAAAATCCTGTTTATCTTTTTTATGTATATTTGGGACCAACAGTGAAAAACAGAAATTAGTCTTGATAGACCTCTTTAAGTAATGTAAAAAGTACAATGATTAGTCATGTCACTTGCCACTTGATATTCTCATTGTGAACCATAGGGAATTAAGGAAATATATTGTTTATAAATAGGGATCTTTTCACTCTTATGCAGCATTGCATTTCCATCGAATGAGTCTAGAGAATAGAGAATAGGCAAGGTATTTTAGGAGATGTGGAAGACACATTTATGAGTTCCCTCACTTTATTTTTTTTGTGTAGAGAAGGTGTAAATAAGAATGGAGAACTTTATGAAGCAAGAGATATATTTGAAGCATTTTGATGAAATTCTCTTCAAAAATACATCTTTTACTTTGTGAAATTATATGTTCTGATTTATACTGTTTCTAATTTATCTCAAGGAACTTTTTATTTATTTTGCAATATACTATGTCTTAAGATATACTCCTCTCATTCAATTATTTATAAATATTGAAGGGTTTGGAAGAATAGTGTTGACATATTCTTTTTACTTATTGGCTCCTTATATACGTAAGGAAATATAGAAAAAGATGTTGACCAAAAAGTTAAGTTGAAAAGTAATTTGACAGTGAAAATGTGTATTCAACTATTTAGATATGTTTATGCTGATTCATTGTATTAGAACAGCCATGTAGAGTCCAGATAATACCAGTTGTGTAGTGTGTAAGGCAATGAAAGCCAGTATGAAATGTGCCAAGTTTTTGTTCTTCATTTGTATTAATGAATGATATATTGTTTTTGTGATGATGCATTTCTTTATATGAGGCATATAAATTAATTGGTTTATTCAGTAGTGGTGCTGTGAGATGCATTTTTGTGCATTTTGCCCTTTTGTAGGACAGTTAAACAAAATTTGTAACACATTTAGATACTGATTGGATATGATTTTAGTTATGTCTGAAAGGAGAAAATGTGTGCATATTTTTGTAAGGTTTCATCACATGTTATGTGTAGAAATTTTTAGTATTTTTTTGTCCCGTTTTTAATTCACTGGTATTTTACCTAAGATATATGAGCATTAGGTATGTTCCTGTAGTTCATGTTTTTGCTGAATTTTCTATTTTCCACTGTCCAAGCTCTCCTCACAGATGAGGTTTGGTTGAATGTTAAGCTTTTAATTAACTTCTTTGCATACACTGTCTTCAGAAGAGCTTCCTACCAGTTCTATAGTTAGCTTATAATTGTTGATGTTTCTTTAGATGGCTGAAGTGTTGCACTATTAAGATTTTTTCCTGGCTGTTTATTTATTCCTAAGCCTTTGCTTATATAAATCCCTAGGTGAAGTGGGATGAGAGATCTTTTGTAGTCTCTTAAAACTAATACTAGCGGGGTGAAAGGACATCCTTGCCTATCCCATCTTTTTTTCGAACAAAATCATTTTTATTTGTAATAAGAAATATTGTTATGCTTTTATATATTTCATTATTACATATAATTGGGAGATACTAGAACCTTGCTAAATCTCTTTTACTGCCTATTTGGTGAAGTATGTGTACACTTCGGTTGTTTCTTGCACCAGCCGATCTAGTCATTTGATCAACCATTGATACGATGGGTTGAGTGCCCGGTTGATTGCTTGGTGTGAGGAATCATTACTGCTCAGCTCTGTTTTATGCGTCTACTCTGAATCTGTACCTTAAGGCCCTACACTTGCCATTACAGAAGGATGCATTACCTTGTTTTTTTTATGTAGCCTTATGACTGAATACATGGTCCATACAATGTAAAGGATTGAAATACATGAAAACTTTGCTCTTAATGTCAAGTTGTCTTACCTCCTTTTTTCAGAAAGCCCTTCAGGGTATTACATCAGAATCATTGCTTGATATTGATGGTGTTCAGCAGACTTTTAATGTATATATTTCCTCAATAACTTATTTTCCAGTACAATCAAGGACCTTCATGGAGAAGCATCCTGGAAGAGTAGAAAGTATCACTTAGAATGTGAGAAATTCTGCTGATATACATGTGACCAGTGATACAAGATACTGATGAAAAGAAATTACAATCATTGTATCATATTTTCCTAGATATATGTAGTGGCACTTTGTAGGTTGTACAGTGGTTGTAAATATCAAAGATAAATCTCAACTTTAACAATTATGTGTATGAATGAAGTGTACAATTCTAGTAAGAGTGCAGGATAGCACATTGTCCAGAAAGAGAAAAAAGAGAGACCAATGAGGATAACTGAATAGTGTAAAAAATGATGCTCAAAGTGGTCAGAGACAGTATTACATAACATAAGAATGCACTGAAACTTACCAAAGAGTTGTTTGTCAGAAGAGCAAGATGGTGGTGGAAAGTGTTGGTGATGTAGATGAACTCTTTAGTAGTAGAAAATCAACTGCCATGAAAAGTTGAAGAAAAGGAAAGGTGGACTTTACTCCACAATGGTAAATATAAAGTTTGTGATGTGTCAAGGACTTTCAGCAGGAGATGGGTGTTCCATGGGCCTCATAATAAGTAAAATGTGGCTCTTTGTTTCTACCTGTAAAAGTTGAATTTACTTGCCTCATCATTCTGTGTGTAGCTTACTCACACCAGACATCACTCCAAGTTGTTTTATATGAAGATTCTTCTCATATAACATCCTCCACTTGAGTAAGTAATTTCATTAGTGAAGAAAGGAAAAAAAGAAATCAGGGCCAAAGAAAAATATTTGCTAAATCTAAAAAGTGAAAATGGAGGATGTTATACATTTGTGTTTTATGTGGTAAGTGTGATAGTTGAAGTCATATATAATCTCCATTGTACGTATATGTTGCCCCGGCCGTTCTGCATGTGAGGGATCTCTGTCACAAGGAAGTAACTTTAGCTCAACATGAATCTAAAAATGATGTAAACATAAACAGATTTAGTTTCATGTATGGTACCATGCACTAATATAAATCTGTAAAAAAAAGAATAGAAGAAGAGAATTTCCTGTTCTCTATTTTTAAACACATTTTTTGGAATTACGGTTTTAAATTATTGTATGCTTTCTTGTGGCTTTTTTTCCTCTTTCTTGCTGTAGGCTCTGCACCTCCAGGGTCGTCTGAAGGACTGGCATTGCTCCATGTCTTCATGTCAGCTGTGCAAAAGCAGGAGATAGTATGTAAAGCACTGTATTGTCTATAAAAAAAAAGAAACAAAAACTCGCACACAACACATTTTTATCAGTGTGGTCAGTGAGAAATGAAATGGCAGGGTTAGCATTTGTATCTATATGATATCGAGGGAATCTGCCGACTTGGTATATTGTTAGTGATTGTGGAATCAGTTTTTAGAGGGATGATGTAGGTTAAGTTATAACAAGAGATATTACAAGTATTATAGGATTTTATTTATGAGTTTAGAAGAGGAAAGAAAGGGAGTTTCATATAAGACTATATGTAAATTGAAGCCATGTAGCTTACTTATGAAGCTGGCTTGGTGTCGTCCAATAGTCTAGATATTTTTACATTATGATGTGATGAAAGTTCTTTTTAATGGCATTGAATATTTAGATTATAAGGAATATGTTGACATTTAGTTCTGCTCTCAAGATCTTAAAATCACAGTCCATTAGTAATGTTAAAATTATTCAGTCATAGTTTCATGCTACAGAAAAGTGAAGAATAGTTAAAATGGAAATACTTAAACTTTTCTAAAATATTCTGAGAATAGAAATAATCTGATCTTTTTGAGAAAGAACCAAAGTATAAAAAACTTTTGGAGGGATGGAGTTCGGTTATGGCTGACTGTTCTAATTTCTCTAATTCATTCCTTTTTGTATTTTTGTAGATACAATAAATCTGGAAGAGCATTCTAACCCTGCCATTTCTTCTCAACCATTTTAATACAGTATACATATAAGATATATGTATATCAAGATTTTGTATTAATCATGGATCACTGATATCCAGTTGCATATTTGGTTGTGTACAAATAACTGATAAGACTGTTAATGTTTTGTTTGGTGTCAGATTTCAACTAGTCTTTTATTACAGTACTCATAGATGTAGACGACTTTTAACTTGAATGGGCCAGAGAAGTATTTTCATGATATCACTGTGGATCACCTTTCAAGTCCGGAATTGTTTGTTGCATGTGCCTCTGAAGTATTTCCTTGGCCTGATTAGAATTGCATCATTATTATACTGTAATTATATATAATGGTGTTTTTTCACAAGGGGAGGGTGAGGAGAATGTAATTTTGCAAACATATTTTTCATATTGTTGTATGTGCCTTTAGTGATTTTGAAAGAGAAAAGTCTCTTTTTCCACTATTGATGCTGACAACACTAATGATATGTCTGTGAAATGAATAACTGATTTAGGTTTATCTACATCAAAGCTTTTCCTGTTTCCTTTGTACAAACATACGTATGTTAATACATACATACATAATATGTATATATACACATGTATAAACAAACACAACCACAAAAACAAATAAATTAGTACACATACAAACAAAGAAACACGGACAAACTAGCAGACAGACACAGACACAGACACACACACACACACACACACACACACACACACACACACACACACACACACACACACACACACACACACACACACACACACACACTCTCTCTCTCTCTCTCTCTCTCTCTCTCTCTCTCTCTCTCTCTCTCTCTCTCTCTCTCTCTCTCTCTCTCTCTCAATTTTTAAAAATCATTTGAAGCTACCAGTGATAAAATCTTCACTGTCTACAACATAGAATGATTTTTTACAAAGAGGCACTTGTTTGACTTACAACTCTGCTCTATGTCTGATTTTGCACTAAGTTCTGAAAATGTCATGTCTGACACTGAAATCATTCCATTGGATACTCCACTAAAGAAAACACACTGTATAAAGCTCAATGTGCAATTTACATAACATGTTTCTGAAATGTTTTATAATTAAATTCATTAGAAAATAAAGATAAATATCGCTGTAAGAAGTAATGTTATTTGACCCTCTCAAAGTCTATACATGTGTTGCTTGAAGGTAGCATGTAAATTTATCACTTGAACTTCACTTATGAAGCCACCGGTACTTCAGCTGCAAACAACAGTGCCAATAAGATACAAGGTAAGTCCTCTGTCTTACTTTACTTTTTGATAACAATATTTGCAGAAATTAATTAAAAGTGTTTGCTGGTATATATGTGTATATATATATATATATATATATATATATATATATATATATATATATATATATATATATATATATATATATATATATGAGTCTGAGGTGGCAGCTCTCAATCTTGGCCTCACTTTATGTGAGGCCAGACAGGAAGCACACAGATGTGGTTTTTGTCTTACTCCCTACACCAGTACTGTCCTTCATTCTGCCTCTCCTCCTCCCTTCCAGGATGTTTCTACATCTCTCCCAGTATCTCTTTCTTATCCCACTTCTCCCCCCTAGTACAGTATCCACCCTAGTCAACACTCAACCCCCAGGAGACATTACTACTCTCCCAACATGCTCAACTTCAACACTTCTACCCCCACAACCTTCTTCATCAACTACCCCATCCTCCCTTATTACTACTTTACAGCCTTATTGCCCAGATCTCCATAACACTGCCTCCCTCAACACTACTCCCTCTTCCACACGCCCCTGTCCTTCTACTACCCCCATCTCTACAAAACTCTTAAATACTCTATTTAGCCCAGCCAAATGAGACCGATTTTTCATGATCCCTCCCACAGCTCCCTACTCTGTCAACACCCTTCTCTTCCAGCAATGTCTCCAAAAACAAGTAGGCAAAGTCTCTTTCCGTAGCCGAACCGACTGTTCCCGTCTCGTCACAGTAACATCTGAAAACCAAGCTATAGCATTATCAAATCTAACTGATCTATATGGTAACCCCATCCCTGCAGGAACTTATCCAACCCTCAATACTTGCACCGGAACTGTTTCTATCTCCCCAGCAAATTGCCCAATCTGTAACAAAAATTGGTCAGATTGTGGAGAAGACTCCATTCCTCCCAGAGGTCATCGTAAGAACCCCACTAACATTGCCAAAATTACTTTCTGTAGACATGACCTTCCCTTTAATGTTTACATCAGTGGAGAATCCCTCCCTGTCCGACCATATCAACCTCCTCCTCGTCAGTGCCAAAATTGTTGGTGTTTAGGACATCCAGCCAACATTGCCATTCCACAGCCAGATGCCCGCTATGTGCCCAACCTGGCCATACTCGATCAAACTGCTCTGCACAATCACACACATTTGCCAACTGTGGCTGCCCCCATAATGTATTTTATAGGGGCTGCCCCACCTACAAATTTGAGTCTGAGGTGACTTGGACTCACTCTACATGAAGCCAGACAGGAAGCACGTTGATGAGGTTTTTCTCTTACTCCCTATTCCAGTAATGTCGCTCACTCTGCTACTCCCCATACCTCCCAAGCTTCTACACCCTCCCTTAACCCAATGGTAACGGGTGAAGAAAACAAAACAAAACAAAAAAAAAACTCTACGCTCTGGCAAACAATGGCAGCGCGCCGACTTTGAGCGTGTGAGTTTGGTACATCAGCCCGAATCACTGGCTCGCCGTGGCGTACAGCTGCATGCCACTTTTCGAGTGGTTTGTTTTCACGACTATCTCTCCTCCATTTAACTTCCCCCCTTGTACCTCCTACCTTCCCCAGTCAAATTCTTTTGCCATCCTAAATCCAGACACTCCAATCTCTACTACAGCCCCAACACCTTCCCCTCTCCCTCCCCGCACTACCCGCAGCAGACAGACTAAACGTTCCACCCCCTCTTCCCCTACCACACAATCACCTCCACTTCCCTTGCCCCTACTCTTCAGACACCAGTCTTCTCTTCCCCCTCTCACAAGAAAACCTTTGTCTCACAAAACTCCCCAACCAACTCCATTACAGAAACTCTTGAAGATACTCAAAATTATCTATCGTGTCCCAAACTCACACTATAACCCCTCATCCACCTTCAAATTCCACAACTCCCGCTCCCTCCACACGCAAAGTGACTGCTGATATCCATCCTCCTCCAACTCATATCCCCCTACTCCCTCCCTACACAGCCCATCCCCTGACTCCAGCCCCACCTACATTAACCCTTCCGCCATCCCCTCTATCCCTTCCACTCCCTCCTGGATACACACGTGAATCCCACATATCACAACTATCCCCTTCCCCAGACCCTCCACCTCCTAATACCCCTCCTGATACAGCACAACCTCCCCCCTCTCATTCCTTTTCCCTCTCTCTATCTCCTTCCCTTCAAATTCTCCAACACATACTACAACCGTTATCACTCATAAATCAACGAAAGTATAACTATCCTTCATTAGAATATTTGTGGTTTCTGTTCTCACAGACCCGACCTTTGTCAAATCCTTTCCTCTTATAAACCATCCACTATATACTTTCTGCTTTGACAACCTATTTTCCTTCCTCAAACGCATATATATCCTTCCCTTTGGTCTAACCCCTCTATATTACCTTACCTGACCTTAACCCATTCACTCGTCAATTCCTTTGCCTAGCTTTGACAACTAATCACTAACTCAACCACCATCCACTACCATTTACCATAGTGCTACATGACCTTAGATGTCTAGCACATTTATTTTGCTTTTAACCATCAACCATCCCACTTCCCACTCCCAATCAAATTCTTTTGCCATTCTAAATGCAGACACCCCAATCTCTACTACAGCCCCTAACACCTTCCCTCTCCCTCCCCGCACTACCTGCAGCAGACAGACTAAACGTTCCACCCCCTCTTCCCCTACCACACAATCACCTCCACTTCCCTTGCCCCTACTCTTCAGACACCAGTCTTTCTCTTCCCCCTCTCACAAGAAAACTCTTTGTCTCACAAACTCCCCAACCAACTCCATTACAGAAACTCTTGAAGATACTCAAAATATCTATTGTGTCCCAAACTCACACTAAAACCCCTCATCCACCTTCAAATTCCACAACTCCCGCTCCCTCCAGACGCAAAGTGACTGCTGATATCCATCCTCCTCCAACTCATATCCCCCTACTCCCTCCCTACACAGCCCATCCCCTGACTCCAGCCCCACCTACATTAACCCTTCCGCCATCCCCTCTATCCCTTCCACTCCCTCCTGGATACACACGTGAATCCCACATATCACAACTATCCCCTTCCCCAGACCCTCCACCTCCTAATACCCCTCCTGATACAACACCACCTCCCCCCTCTCATTCCTTATCCCACCCTCTAGCTCCTTTCCCTTCAAATTCTCCAACACATACTACAACCGTTATCACTCATAAATCAACGAAAGTATAACTATCCTTCATTAGAATATTTGTGGTTTCTGTTCTCACAGACCCGACCTTTGTCAAATCCTTTCCTCTTATAAACCATCCACTATATACTTTCTGCTTTGACAACCTATTTTCCTTCCTCAAACGCATATATATCCTTCCCTTGGTCTAACCCCTCTATATTACCTTACCCGACCTTAACCCATTCACTCGTCAATTCCTTTGCCCAGCTTTGACAACTAATCACTAACTCAACCACCATCCACTACCATTTACCATAGTGCTACATGACTTTTGATGTCTAGCACATTCATTTGCTTTTTGACTCTTCCCCATTGTAAAATCATTAACATGTTCTCTGGCTACTAGTTATGAGGGGTTATTAAAACAGTCATGTTGGGATTATCCTTGTTTCATATGATTATTGTTTTATAAAAGATAATGCATACAAATATAGAAAAAAGTATGATGAAACTTGAATATCACACACAGGATTAAGTCTGTATAAACCATGAAGCAGAAATTGGGAATGACACATTCCATGATATCAAGTAAATCCTCCAAGTACACAATTCAAATGTAAGATTTAATTTTCTTATGTGAAACCACCATGATGGGGGAATGTTTTAAAAGGTGACACAATAAAAGAAAACTTGTTGTGGTAAAACATGGCAACAAAATTCCTCATGGCCAAAAAGACCCAATATTTTGAGGATTACTTGATTTCTTGTTGTAACTAAATTAATCAGAGTACAGTTCTTATCAAAAATATCCTTCATAAAGGTGAAATCAGAAAAAAAATATTACATTCAAGAAAATCACATGAATAAAGAAAAAGAAAATTAATGACAAAATGGTGAGCTGGTACTTATTGTACTTCACAAAATAAATAAGAGAAGAAAATGACTATCTCTAATTATACAATACTTTAGATCAGATGTAATATCAACAAGGAATTCCATCCTTTTCTGTAAATTCTTAGGAAGGGAGAGGACCAAACAATAATAATAATAACAATGAGTTATCATGACCATAAACTAAGATTATACTACATTCCCTTTACAGGCAGACTAAGGAACTACCAATGGTACTTTGGGACCATCCACTTCTAAATTTATACATTATTAGGAAAACTGCCCCTAAACTAATAGTGGTGTCTCTAGCAGTACTGATCCCAAAACATAATGGCAAAATAAGGCTAATAGAATACCAAAAAAAGAACAGTACCCAGTAAAACTTTGAATCTATTTGTACTATTTTTTAACAGGTACTACCTCAGCTACCCTTATTAGTTTTGGAGCTGTCTTTCAAAAGGTTGTGGTGGCTAGTGCTTTTTGGTAAATAAATTTGCAAGTGGAAAAGGAAAATAATGCAAGCCTAATATCAGAAGATTCATAACAATGACTTATCATGGCCATAAACTAAGATTATAATACATTCCAATTACAAGCAGAGTTGGTAAGTACCTCTGGTACTTAGGACTAAATCATCATCCACTTCAAAATTTATATATGTGAAAGTACCAATTATTGCAATCACTAGGAAAACTGCTCCTAAAACTAATTGTGGAGTCTCTCTAGCAGTATTGATACCAAAACATAATGACAAAACAAAGATATAAGTGCTGCAAATAGAGTACCAACAGTACTAATGCACTGCCCTGTGGAACTTTGAATCTATTTGTACTATTTTTTAACAGGTACTGTCTGAGCTACCCCTAGTAGTTTTGGAGCGGTCTTCCAAATGGATGTAGTGACAGGCACTTTTTGGCAAATAAATTTAGAAGTGGAGTAATGATGGTATTTATAACTGTTTACAACACATTACATTTGTATACATGTTATCGCTTAATGAATTCTTAATTTCATAAAATACTCAGGGTGGATTACATATAATTAAGTCTGAAAAATACATAAATGCAAACACAAAAATCAACCATACAACACAGTCAAATGCATATGTCTGGCCTCTCACCAACTTCCTCTATGAATGTTATACAGGACATACATAAGACTTTTAACTGGTTACAAGTACTCATTAATGAAGTCCATTTTTAACATATGATGGATAGACATACTTAATATACTATAAATTACTTGAAATATTAATAATTCATTATTCTTTTGACTGAATAATAGTTGAAAAGGCCAAAATTACATTTAGTTTTTTTCTTTATATAAATTACAAAATCCTTATTTCTTCAACCTTTTCCATAAAGGGCATCCCAGAAATGGCAACAAACCAAAATAAGTAATAAACTTGGATACATTACTGAATAAGTAAATTACATTAAATAGATGGATTATAAACAATCACTCCCTTTACAAAAAATAACTATATAGCCGTTTTGGGGGTACCTGTGTAGGACCAAATCCTCTGCCAATGGTTTGTATGCATGGCTGAAAATTTACTTGCAATAAATGCACAATGGTATACAAAAATACTGTGTACCCTTATTTATATATCTTAAAATTATTGACAAACCATAACAGATTTCAACCTTCCCGTACTTCATAAAAGTCATCACATAGATGTTTAAACAAGTCAACTTAAATAGGCTTCGCATAAATCAATGCCTACAACATACACAATGGTGTAAACAAACGTCTGTAATAGGTGTTGGGATTTCTGTAATGCTGTTTTTAAATCTGCTAAATAGCACAAATCCCATAACTTAAAATAAAATTACCACATGATCATACATTTTTTTGAAGTTCATTCTCTGTTTCCTTTAATGTTCATACAGCATAATGAAGGTATTCATAATCTACTGCTGGTAACTATCACTTCCTATATTTGTAGCTGAAGAACACAGACAAACAGTTAAGTTTCTTTATGTATGCTGAATAAAAGTGCTATGATCATTCTTATAATCAAGCTTTTAATTTTCATAGTAAACTTATAGTATTACAGGCATACTCTGTACATTTAAGATATAAGAAAATTGTAAGAGAAGGAAACAAGTGAAACATGATCACCAAGTTATAGAAAATTGTACTGAAAGAAGAATCCTATGGTCACTGCCAAATCACAATACGGTTTATTTATTTTGTTTACACTTGGCTATCATCACACTTAATAAATATGAAAATAGAAGGAGGCAGAAAAAAAATATATACATTTCTATGGAGTCAATACCTTGATGAAGTAAACAAATACTAATAATGACAAAAGCCTGTATAATCTGCAGTAAAACAGAGAAAAGACCAACTTCAAGTCAGGAACAGGATGTGAAGTGGAAAATAACCTTCCTTTACATGTGGTGTTTTTTTCTGCGAATGCAAATCTGAAAAGATATGCAATGCAAACTATGCATCTGACATGGAATTCTCCTGTCAACTGAATTCTGATCATGCCTGGATTTGTCAGTATGACACACAAATGTGCACATGTGAATATCTCTCTCTCCCTATACACTGACACTTGCATGCACACATACATAACAAATATATTCACAGACACACACATATTCCCCATCTCTGAAACAAAATCAGTAGATCGCACAGGAGAATTTACAACACTTTTAAAAGCACTTGTAAGTGAAGGACTGGCTACTTCTGAAAAATCATGATAATAGAAACATTCACTGCCCTTACAGCCATTATCCATTCTGACTGGTTACTGACTAAAGTTATGAATTTGGGAATGCTTTGCTAAGAACTAAGTGAAGTATTCTAGATAAAAATTTATGATAAAATTCCAACGATTATATAACTCTAGTGCATATGGCAACTTGCTGGTATCCAATTATATTTTCCCAGCCTTGTATATACTGCTTAACATCTGTGCTGAAGATGAATATTATTTCCAAGCTCAAAAACTTAAATTATAGAAATCACAAATGAATTATTTAAAAGCAACATACACGTCAGCAAAATCGGCATCTGGAAGTAAATCCAACAAATGAAGCCTAAAATCAGTGTCACTCTACAACTGTTTCTACTTTTGTTTCCTATTCTAAAATGTTAATTCTTTCTCATTTTAAAATGCTGCAGAAGGATCATATAAAACAGATGATATTGTACTACCCATGTTCTATCAATTCACCCAAACTAATGATGACTTTTATTCCTATTATACATCAGGTCTCTCCACTAAGAAACTATCACCTAATAATGTTTCCCTTTCAAAGGGCCAAAGACACCCTTCACAGAAGGTATTCATAACCATTATCTCAATCATTTTTTTCTTTGCTTACTACATGGTCCTAAAACAACACATATTAATATTACAGAATAAAAATAGGCAAGGAATGTTATACAAATAGCACAGTGCCTCTTTTACCCTGAAATAGATAGACAGTTCAGATATCACACAATAATAAATCAGGGTAGAATCAAAATCTCAGGACAGGTAGACAAGTGTGAGTGACTAACAGTGATATTTTCTAATGTGGTGTGAAATATGAAATGAAATTAAGATATGAATAGTGTGGTTGTTCCATACATGAGTGTATGTATTTAAATGTCTTTTTATATAGATAAGAAAAAATTATGATAATGCAAAAATGTGTTAATAATCTCCTACTTAAAAAAAAAGATGAATAAAGTATGTTAATGGAGTAAAAATGAAAAACACAGGTAAATGGATTAATGATTCAATAACTAATAAGTGCCAGTCACTGAATATGGCACTGTCCAACAATAAGAGAGATTAACCAAACAAATACAAAACAGAAGTGCAATAGCAAAATATACTTTTATATAACACCTGAATGAAAATGTGGGTTTTAATAAACATTGGACAAATTAGTGTGTGGATGAACAATCATCAGTGAAACCAAGACAATCTAACAGAGACTGACTGTGAGTATTATGAGGTGAGTGAATTAGTAGTGAGCATACTTGTCCCAGGTATTTTAGTGAATACAAAGACAACTCCTTTAACTCGTAATGTTTTTCATTTACCATCTATTTCAATAGATACATACATCTATCTACCTATAGCACCAAGCTACACAACTTTATATCTCTATTCACAGCTCATAAATATCATAAAGCAATATGTGAACTGTATACCCAGTTCTACAGACCTAAGAGTACATCTATCAAACTGAAATCAGACTAGATCAATATTCCATTTGCAGTATAATTCTACTCAATGCCTAAAAAATCTTAATTTAAATTAATAATTTACAAAGTGTACTACTAATGCCTGCATAAAACATAACTCACATAAAATAGTTCAAAATACATAATTTTTAGTTCTTCCTAATTCATTACTTATCTCACTCTATGATATATAAAATCTAAGATAAAATCTAAGTCAGTTTTAGAAATATTCTATATTTCAACATATCCTTTTTGCAGTATTCAAAATAACTATCATGGATTCTTCATACACCAAACTCCCCTTGATCCATTATCAGTATGAACAAGGGCATTCAATTATAGCAATCTCAAATTAATTTTTGCATTTTTCTCATTGGAATCTACAAACCCTTACAACATAAATATAATATCATTAAGGGCAAGCCATCAGACACTACTGAACCAGGTCCTCTTGAATCCTGACTTCATTTGTCCTTGGAGGGTACACTAGAAAGTAGAATAAAGAATAAACAATAGTGCTTTTAGAATATGATTTGTACAAACATGCCAAGCCCATTGTGATTTTAATTTATTAATAGATGGCTACAGGACTATTTACCCTTTCCTCGACTTTCAAGAAAAAAATGTACTCTTTATTACTATTAGTGTTCTTAATATAATAATAATAATAGTGATAGTAATAACAAGAACAATAATAATAACAGTAATAATAATAATAATAATAATAATAATAATAATAATAATAATAATAATAAAAAAAAAAAAAAAAAAATAGCAACAGTAATTATGGCAATAATAATATCAATAACAATAATGATAATAACAATAATAATGATAATAATAATAATAATAATAATAATAATAATAATAATAATAATAATAGCAATAGCAATAATTACAATAAAAACAACAATATTAATAACAATAATAATAAAGATAACAATACAAATAAAACAATTATAATAATGACGATAATAATAATGATAATGATAATGATAATAATAATAATAATAATAAAAAAATAATAATAATAATAGCAACAATAACAGTATTAGAAAAATAATCCTTAATATTCAAGGAATGGGGTAATGAGGTGAGGTCAAGTAGCCAACTAACTGATTCCCTGGTGACTAAGCACTTCTGGAGCCATCTGTTTGTCATCAAAATTCACAAAACACAATTACAGTGGACAGCACTTGTAGCCAGTGCCAATAACTAAATGATATGAGTGTCTCAAAACAAGTAGAATTACCCTTTACTAGTTGGAAGAAAATGGATAAAAAGGAAGAAGAGGGACAACAAAGCCTTTTTAGTTACATTTTACCAATATTCATTCCCTAAATTTCTTTAAAAAATAAACACTTCACTCTTCAGAGATTAACTATCATAAGCTAATGCATAAAACTGCTTTGGAATATATGTGGTAAGTCAAATGCACTGTTACTATGCAAGACACTACAGATTAACATTTAGCGGTGGAGTATCTAATGTTAGATACTAGGCATACCTAATCATAAAGGAAGAGTAAAAAGCCTACAGTAACCCAGTAACATCATGCAAAGACTGGAGAACTTACCCTTTTCTTTGAGTCCTAAGCCAAAGTTCCTGTAACACTTGACCATAAGAATAATTAAGATCAAATGTACTATTAAACTTCCTGCACTGGCTGCATAACGGCACTGAGCAATGAGAGTTGTCTCATGCTTGACTGCAGTCTGTTAATGAGACAGAAAAATAATCATTAACCCACTGCTGTTGTTTACTTGTTCTACCTATCTAACCTATTAGCCCTCTCCCTTGATTTTTGGAAATATTATTTTTTATCTTTTATTGATATTAGTATTGTTAATAACATTATAATAATGATAATGCCAACAATAACAACACCAGTATCTATATCAATGTCATTAGAAAAAAAAATCCAAAAATCTCAAGATAAGGTCAAGTAAACCTACTAATTGGTGGGAGAGCACTTGTGGAACCATTTGTCTGTTTGTCTGTTTGTCTGTTTGTCTGTTTGTCTTTCTGTCTTTCTGTGTGTGTGTGTGTGTGTGTGTGTGTGTGTGTGTGTGTGTGTGTGTGTGTGTGTGTGTGTGTGTGTGTGTGTGTGTGTGTGTGTGTGTGTGTGTGTGTGTGTGTGTGTGTGTGTGTGTGTGTGTGTCCAAACATGATAATCTTAAATAGTGTTAATAGCTTTATCCCCTCTCTGCTGAAAGCCTCATAGTTACTTACATATGAAGGTATGTGTAATCAAAGGTGTTTCAGGACTAACTGCCCAAAAAGGTGTTAATCAAATGTTTAGCTAGTTTAAACTCCTGTCTATAACATAAGCATTCAGATGTTTACATGAATAATGTGACTATAGTGAATTAATGTGAACATATTGATCCTTATCTTACAGATGAAATTTTAAACTAAGAAAACAGTTAATAAAATGCATACTTCTGCAATTGGTCTGAGAACACATTTGGACAGGATATACCCTCATATGTACAAGTGAGTCATCTCAGCCCGAAAACAAATAGTAACTTGGCAAGAACACATACTTGTGTGATGGATAAGATGAGGTAGGCGACATGACCTGGACTGAGAACCATAGCAATGCTGAAGAAATATCTGCTCTCAAGACGTAGCTGTAAAGAACAAGACAAGCACTGTAGCAAAACAAATAAAAATTTTGAATTTTGAATCTGTGATATATTTTTCATCTATAATTAACATGCCATTCATAACTTATCTTCTCCAACAAATTGATTGTGATAATTAAGAAGAGTTGTCTGTTTGTCTGTTTGTCTGTTTGTCTGTTTGTCTGTTTGTCTGTTTGTCTGTTTGTCTGTTTGTCTGTTTGTCTGTTTGTCTGTTTGTCTGTTTGTCTGTTTGTCTGTTTGTCTGTTTGTCTGTTTGTCTGTTTGTCTGTTTGTCTGTTTGTCTGTTTGTCTGTTTGTCTGTTTGTCTGTTTGTCTGTTTGTCTGTTTGTCTGTTTGTCTGTTTGTCTGTTTGTCTGTTTGTCTGTTTGTCTGTTTGTCTGTTTGTCTGTTTGTCTGTTTGTCTGTTTGTCTGTTTGTCTGTTTGTCTGTTTGTCTGTTTGTCTGTTTGTCTGTTTGTCTGTTTGTCTGTTTGTCTGTTTGTCTGTTTGTCTGTTTGTCTGTTTGTCTGTTTGTCTGTTTGTCTGTTTGTCTGTTTGTCTGTTTGTCTGTTTGTCTGTTTGTCTGTTTGTCTGTTTGTCTGTTTGTCTGTTTGTCTGTTTGTCTGTTTGTCTGTTTGTCTGTTTGTCTGTTTGTCTGTTTGTCTGTTTGTCTGTTTGTCTGTTTGTCTGTTTGTCTGTTTGTCTGTTTGTCTGTTTGTCTGTTTGTCTGTTTGTCTGTTTGTCTGTTTGTCTGTTTGTCTGTTTGTCTGTTTGTCTGTTTGTCTGTTTGTCTGTTTGTCTGTTTGTCTGTTTGTCTGTTTGTCTGTTTGTCTGTTTGTCTGTTTGTCTGTTTGTCTGTTTGTCTGTTTGTCTGTTTGTCTGTTTGTCTGTTTGTCTGTTTGTCTGTTTGTCTGTTTGTCTGTTTGTCTGTTTGTCTGTTTGTCTGTTTGTCTGTTTGTCTGTTTGTCTGTTTGTCTGTTTGTCTGTTTGTCTGTTTGTCTGTTTGTCTGTTTGTCTGTTTGTCTGTTTGTCTGTTTGTCTGTTTGTCTGTTTGTCTGTTTGTCTGTTTGTCTGTTTGTCTGTTTGTCTGTTTGTCTGTTTGTCTGTTTGTCTGTTTGTCTGTTTGTCTGTTTGTCTGTTTGTCTGTTTGTCTGTTTGTCTGTTTGTCTGTTTGTCTGTTTGTCTGTTTGTCTGTTTGTCTGTTTGTCTGTTTGTCTGTTTGTCTGTTTGTCTGTTTGTCTGTTTGTCTGTTTGTCTGTTTGTCTGTTTGTCTGTTTGTCTGTTTGTCTGTTTGTCTGTTTGTCTGTTTGTCTGTTTGTCTGTTTGTCTGTTTGTCTGTTTGTCTGTTTGTCTGTTTGTCTGTTTGTCTGTTTGTCTGTTTGTCTGTTTGTCTGTTTGTCTGTTTGTCTGTTTGTCTGTTTGTCTGTTTGTCTGTTTGTCTGTTTGTCTGTTTGTCTGTTTGTCTGTTTGTCTGTTTGTCTGTTTGTCTGTTTGTCTGTTTGTCTGTTTGTCTGTTTGTCTGTTTGTCTGTTTGTCTGTTTGTCTGTTTGTCTGTTTGTCTGTTTGTCTGTTTGTCTGTTTGTCTGTTTGTCTGTTTGTCTGTTTGTCTGTTTGTCTGTTTGTCTGTTTGTCTGTTTGTCTGTTTGTCTGTTTGTCTGTTTGTCTGTTTGTCTGTTTGTCTGTTTGTCTGTTTGTCTGTTTGTCTGTTTGTCTGTTTGTCTGTTTGTCTGTTTGTCTGTTTGTCTGTTTGTCTGTTTGTCTGTTTGTCTGTTTGTCTGTTTGTCTGTTTGTCTGTTTGTCTGTTTGTCTGTTTGTCTGTTTGTCTGTTTGTCTGTTTGTCTGTTTGTCTGTTTGTCTGTTTGTCTGTTTGTCTGTTTGTCTGATTGTCTGTTTGTCTGTTTGTCTGTTTGTCTGTTTGTCTGTTTGTCTGTTTGTCTGTTTGTCTGTTTGTCTGTTTGTCTGTTTGTCTGTTTGTCTGTTTGTCTGTTTGTCTGTTTGTCTGTTTGTCTGTTTGTCTGTTTGTCTGTTTGTCTGTTTGTCTGTTTGTCTGTTTGTCTGTTTGTCTGTTTGTCTGTTTGTCTGTTTGTCTGTTTGTCTGTTTGTCTGTTTGTCTGTTTGTCTGTTTGTCTGTTTGTCTGTTTGTCTGTAAGAGAGTACAAATATTTAGTGATCCCTGTACTTACTACAAGTCACTTTATTCAACTGAGAGAGAGAGAGAGAGAGAGAGAGAGAGAGAGAGAGAGAGAGAGAGAGAGAGAGAGAGAGAGAGAGAGAGAGAGAGAGAGAGAGAGAGAGAGAGAGAGAGAGAGAGAGAGAGAGAAGAGAGAGAGAGAAGAAAAGAGAGAGAGAAAGAAAAGAGAAGAGAAGAAGAAAAGGAGAGAGAGAAGAAAGAGGAGAGAGAGAAGAAAGAGAGAGAGAGAAGAAAAGAGAGAGAGAGAAGAAAAGAGAGAGAGAGAGAAGAAAAGAGAGAGAGAGAGAAGAAAAGAGAGAGAGAGAGAGAAGAGAGAGAGAGAGAGAAGAAAAGAGAGAGAGAGAAGAAAAGAGAGAGAGAGAAGAAAGAGAGAGAGAGAAGAAAGAGAGAGAGAGAGAAGAAAGGGAGAGGGAGAAGAAAGAGAGAGAGAGAAGAAAAGAGAGAGAGAGAAGAAAAGAGAGAGAGAGAAGAAAAGAGAGAGAGAGAAGAAAAGAGAGAGAGAGAAGAAAAGAGAGAGAGAGAAGAAAAGAGAGAGAGAGAAGAAAAGAGAGAGAGAGAAGAAAAGAGAGAGAGAGAAGAAAAGAGAGAGAGAGAGAAGAAAAGAGAGAGAGAGAAGAAAAGAGAGAGAGAGAAGAAAAGAGAGAGAGAAGAAAAGAGAGAGAGAGAAGAAAAGAGGGAGAAAGAAAGAGACAGAAATATATAAAGAAAGAAAATAAGAAAGAGGGAGAAAGAAAGAGACAGAAATATATAAAACAAGAAAATAAGAAAGAGAGAGAGAGAGATACCATAAACCATAAACAAGCTTAAAATATTGCACTTACTGCTAAGTACGCAATGGTCGCCCATGCAAGCAACATTGGAGCTCCCACAGTTACAGTCAGAATTTCCTCAAGGTCAAGCTCCGACAGCCTGTGATGCATAGCCATGATTACCACGCTCCCCTGAGGATATCATACGGAAATTATAAAAGTCACAGAGTAAATAATCGTTATTAAAAATACAAGATATATGATTATTTTTGATAACAACACAGTACACAGTTAGTTCGCTGGAATATAAAAATGTTAATTATGATGGAATTACCTATCATCACTCATATATAATTCATTAGATGTTAAATTAGAAATCAGATATTTTATAGTCAAGGAAGGACCAAATCAAAATAAGATATCACAATCAAATTAAATAATGATTTTGTGAATAAGTCAGGAGGAAAGTAAGATCACACATATAATATACCATCTGTATATATACAAAAAAAACAAAAAAAAACAGGGCTTACCACAATCTGAATGTCAAACAGGATTAAGGTCACTGTTGTAAAAAGTACTCTACACATAGCCTGGATGGAGCTATCTGCACCAACGGTTCTAAAAATGAGGTTTCCTGACTGCCAATAATTGTAGCCGAGGAAAGTCCCAATGGTGCCCAAACTGGTGCCAAATACCAGAGTCAAGATAAGCCGTACCTTTGTTCAAGAAAAAAATTAAAAGTCGTTACTCGTAAAAATTAAATGAAATGTATTTATTTTTACACTCTTGCATAGATAGATGAAAGATATTCTAATAATTCAAGGTAACTGAATAAAAAAATGAAACAATTATGCATCATGTTTCAATAAGCATTTCTATACTTACATTCTGAACAACTAGTTAGTCATGCATTGCACCATATGTTTCATGTCACTTCCACTATATATGGATAAAACATACAAAGAACAATTATCCATGAATATAAAAACATTTACATCCATCAATCTACATCATATTCATTTCACATCTACAATTACATCTGCTTAAGTATTCTATTTTGCTCTAGAAGTAGAAACAAAAGATAAATACCAGTTTGAAAGTATCAGAAGTGGAAGATTCCTTGGCATAGTTAATCACAACGTAGACTATCAATATTATGCATGATGCTACAAAAGCAAGGACTTCAAAAGCTTGCTCCCGAAATACCCCATCTACGATGTATATAATACAGAAGGCTGAAAGGATAAAGTTTGGTGTTTATTTCTTGTATTTTCATTATTTACATTTTTTTAAACATATTTTCTGAGTAAATAAACTTTCAACTGTTACATGGAAATCAAATTAAGAACCTTTTAACAGTCACCTTCTATAGAACAATGGTATAAAATATGTGAAAGAAAAAAAGAGTGAAAAAAGAGAGAATTAATTATATTCTATGCCAAAACCAGTAATTCACTTATTACCATTAAGTAGTCCACTAATTTTTGTTAGATAGTAGGGTTTTATATCATAATTATTCATCTCCAACTCTTTCCCTCATGTCTTCCATTAAATCAATAATTAATTTCTCCTTCAAGACCAATATAAAACTGCTGAGATATTAATGCAAATAGAAAATTACGAGTAGACCTATTTCTATAATATCTCATAACATTAACAATGAAAAAGTACTAGTGAGAAATGACAAAATTATTTAGCTATTAATAACTCTGACTGTTGGGGAGTACTAATATCAATTAGTATACTTTGAATGTCAACTTTAGTTTCAAAACTCTTATATTCTTTATCCACATACCAAGCTATATCTAGAGTTGGCTGTATTACGCAACAAATAGTTAGCATAAGTGGAGAAACATTAAAAACATGGCCTAAAAATAAAAAGATAAGGCCTTGTAGTATCTGCAAAATCAAAATGAAATGTCAACATTTGCATGCTAAGGGACCATTCTGATAGATATTCATAAATCAAAAATGGAGTGAAGTAAGACCTCACTCAACTTTAAACAAGATGTCTATATCATTTGTTTCTTTGAGAAAATTACTCAGCACTTGAGATAATGCATTTCTTGATAAATGCTACTCATTATCATTGTGCACTTTTCTTTCTTCTTTTTCAGGAACTACTATTTCTTTGTTAACAGAATACAATGCCATATAGGAAGATTCATTCTTATTTCAAAGTTTCATGGAGATATCATGTATTTCTCTAATTAGTAATGTTCAAAATAAACAGGTTCTTGTGAGATATGGATATTATTCTATATATGTGACATTTACATTCTATATATTCTGTTCATATCTTCTCACCTGATATGTTATATTAAAAAATAAATCTTCAAAATGGGTTTTTATAAGCAAACAAACATTCTCCTGAAAATAAGCTATAAAATTGAAAGCTCAAAAAATCGTGCTGCTAGGTATGTACAGAGAAAAGAGCTCTATATACATTTGCCAAGAGGCAACTCACCTGAATGGAAAATTATTAGCATGGCAAACACATAATCCTGAGATCCTGGAGGCAGATAAAACAATCTGTATATCGCTAATCCAATTGTTCCTAGCGTTGACAGGAGGCCACCCACAAGGAGAATCCATTCCAAAGGTCTCAGGCTTTGACACGTTCTTATCTAGAATGACAATTACAATAATGAAAATAAAAACCTATTAATATATCCCTTTATCTTTCAAATACAAATACTCTGAATGAGTCTGTCTGGAAAAAAAGATGAAATATGAATACAGGCGCAAAAAAAGAACACAGAACACAGAATATCTTCTGTGACTTAAGTCACATAACATGACTCAATCAGGTATTAAGTACATTTCCAAATACTGTAGCTCGCATGGCCTGGGATCGTGGTATTCCAAGATCTTCGAAAGTTATGGGCCTCTCTTGTCCCCATTCTGGCTCTTGTCCATAATTAGGTGCAAAGAGACTGCTTCCTTGTGTCGTCATTATGCAGTCTGTAATAAGAAATTGAAAAGCATAAGAAGGATTGTAGGACAATCATACAATGGGTCACATTATCTATAATCATCAATCAACCTGTTTATAGAAAGAAAGAATGAGAGAGATAAAAAAAATCTAGCAATGTAAGGACCCCTTTAAGAATAAACCTTTCCTATCTGATAAAGTTTAAACTTATTTTCATATCATTTAAAATAGAGTGCATGATTGGGGAAAAGAGGATGATTAAGATCAAAGGTTAAATTTCTGTTATATAAAGGATTATATTTTTGTTTCACAAAATACTGTATATGAATGTCACAAGAATATCTATGCGTGTAACCCACAAAAAAGTTATTTTAATGAAATTAATGATAGCACTTTAATGAAATCTTGAGCTTATTACAAAGAACAATGAAATAAAAATATATAATATATCCAAAGTTTGTGAAGGAAGTTTGCAATGTTTCATGGAAAAAATAAAATAAACTATGAGAATTTAACTATCTAAAATGAACCCACATCAATAAATTACTACTCAGTCTGTCTACTGTCCAACAATCCTGGTTGTTACTAACAGTAACTTATGATGCAAACAAGGGTCAAAACTACATTACATAATCTCGACAAGCAACATTTATAACCTCCAGAAATGGGTCAGTATACATTTATTGAGTAATTGAATTATGAATGATGCTTAGACTACAATCTTCCATGGATATATAAGATTCACACAACAATGGAAACTTTGGTTGATATTAACCTATTGCCGCCGGGGATGGCTTGTACGTACATGCCATGCCCACTGTGAGTCGACTTGTTCGATTGTTTTTACACATAGATGGCTACACTTGTACTGAGTCACCAGTGAGCCAATTATGAGTACTGCCTGTCTCGCCTGTTCATCCTTTTCATCGATTTACGAAAATATTTAACGTTATCCTAATTTGCTGTTAAAAATAACACCATCTATATTTATATAACTAGTAAGAATACGTTTTTTCCCGCCAATTCAAGGGAAGGTGTAATCAGGACTAGCAGAGCCATCTATGGACAGAGATATTTCACAAAAATATAAAAAATGAGCACAGACTTTCCCCCATTTTTTGTTCAATTTCCCTGGCAGCAATGGGTTAAATGATTGCATCATTTTCATATATATATAATGTTCATAATGCATTTACAACAAACTTAGCCCTAATGGCTGAATAGGGTTAGAGGAAAAGCACAGATATGTTTTGACTGAAAAAAAAAAATACAAGATACACTACTCCACTTAACCTGTGAAGACATAAGAATATATGATCTATGCATATTCATTATCGCTGTAGAGCAAGTGAAAACCCTAGGCCTGATGACTCCAACTGTCCCTGGGTTTAGGTTCCATTAGCAAATATCATCCCCAGTACACAACAGAACTCATGCCCATATTCTTTTCTGATCTGATGAATATATTGCAGGAATCTCTTGTGACATTGCCATATTCATGAGTATACCCATTACATTCCCATATAGAATGGGATTCTCCTGACTGTAAATGTTAATGGACTTCTGATAAGAATGACTGATTTACCCTTCACCAATCTATACATTTTTTTTCAATATCATTATCCTTTTCCTTGAATGAAAATGTTATATGGAAAATAAAGCTGTACCATAATATCATGAATGGAATTAATTCAACAGTAATGTAATGCTTTGCATAGCAGTAATGTTAAACTATATTTCTGCCCCTACTGGGATTTTGGTCATCACATTTGTCACAGCCAGACTCATGTTTGTGTACATCAACTTGTCACAGACTCCTTCACAAGGTTAGGATGATGGATACTTTCATCATTTAGTATATATAAGTATTTTGAAGATAATAAAGTGCCTTTGTAGGTTATTTGAGTGAATCTTAAAAGTAATGAAAATAGTTTTTGTTTTATAATGGTGGCTTATAACCCCAGAACACAGCTGGTTATGCTAGAATGTTGGCCTTGTTGAAAGTCTATACAAATTTGTGTAATACAAGTAACTTTGGTGTTGACAGACAATTTATGATATCTACTGTACAGATATACAGATACAGTAGTTACAGTCAAAAGACACCAACTATAGAAATTATACACTAATTTGGGATGGCAGGTAATGTATAGAAATTTGCAGGGAATATACTACTAATAACATATAATCCAAACAGTACAAACATAAAGTCACACGTTCTTGGAGCCTCCATCACCTATAATGCCCCTTATACTGGGGTATACTGAAGTTCCATGTGAGCCCATAGAGTATCAAATAATGACTGCTGCCATGACTGACCATGGTGTGCTGCCTTTGGGCTTAAAGAGTTCTGGCAAAGACAAGTAAAGCTCTGCAATATATAGTATATACTTTCTGGCAAAATAGAGCATGGACTGCTTCCCTACATGATGCTATGATTTGCTTAAATATGTGTGGTCTGCTGCAGTCTTCTAGGTAATTCTGTATTTGCCTAAGACAAAGTTCTATAATCACTATTAACTCCAAGCTTTTGGCTATGGCCAACCAAGCACCACTACATATATTGGATGTTTGTTGCTGATTTGTTAATGTCCTGAAGGCATACAGGTCATGGTGAGCATTTGTCACTATGGGTGATAAGTGACTGTGGTTTATCTTTGCTTCCAACAGATTGTTGTTGTTTTTTTAGCTGATAGTATTGTTTGATGTCTTCCGTAAAAGCTTAACCTTACACTTTCTCTATCATTAGTCTTTATTTCAAGATTTACTGGTACTGTATTTTACCATAGTGCAGAGAGGCCTGGAGGCTACAGAATCCAATCTGAAATAATAAATCTATATTATATCTGACCTATAGATAGAGCCCTGATAGGTCCGAGTGACATGGCTCATGAGTGATGTGACTACTCAGGTGAAAGCTTTGTGCCACTAGCTTAATCAGTTAATGTTACCAGGAGCGACACACAGAGATAGAGGGAAATGGACATTGCCATCTTACAGAGGATAAAAAAATAGTCCACAATACCCTCACACTGCCAGAGTTCTTAATGCCGTGTTTTCTGGAAGTTGGCAAAAAAGGACGATATAGTTTTAGTTTCCCACACCATGCAATACAAGGTAAAATTTACCTTTAATGAACAGTATGGCTGAAAACAAGACACTTTTCATCTATGGAATGACTTTAACAAGTTGATAATAAAAAAGTTGTGCAACATGTAATACTTTGGTATACATTTACTGGAAAATGTAATGGCACTATACTAATCAAAGAGAAAATACACTCACAAATACAGGAAATAATCTGCATCAGTGAAAAATGTAAAAAATTAAGAAAAGAGGTCACAAAACATGCTATGCAGGTTGTAACTCCACAACTAGGTGGGGGTCCAGGGTCTGAGCCCCAAATAGAGAAATATGGTGATCGGATGGGTGTCTAGGCGTGAAGCCCTTGGGTTAGGGAGGATTTTGGTTCATACAGCAATGTCTGTGGATTTACCAGGAATGGTAGGAGTAAAAGGGCTTAATCTCAGCGGTCCGCCTAAAGTGCATCCGGAACCTTTTTGCGTGTCAGGAATGCGTCCGGTAGAAAAATGCGCATCTGGAAGTGCGTCAGGAAGAAAAATGCACTTCAGGAACAGTTTCTAATGAAACATAGGTCCAATATATCTGTATAAGTGTTTATCATGGTGGTTTTGTTAGGTTAGGTTAGGTTAGGTTAGGTTAGGTTAGGTTAGGTTAGGTTAGGTTAGGTTAGGTTAGGCCGATCTCCTATCTTTAGGAATCACGAAGGGTTTTTTTTCCATTCATGTTTCCATGTTTCATTAGAAAACTGTACCTGACGCGCATTTTTCTTCCTGATGCCCTTCCAGAAGCGCATTTTTCTACCGTACATGCTCCTGATGCGCAAAAAGGTTCCAGACGCACTGTATTAGATCCATGATAAACACTTATACAGATATATTGGACCCATGTTTCGTTAGAAAACTATTCCTGACATGCATTTTTCTACCGGATGAGCTCCTAACGCGCAAAAAGGTTCCAGACGCACTTTAGGCGGACCCTAATCTCAGAGGGGTAAGGTCACTTCATAAACATTAGCAATACTTTTATTTATATAATTTGTGATGGAAACTAACAAGAGATTCATGCATATTACAGTGTGGATAATTGAAAGAAAGAATAAAAAATGGAAGATTGGATGGCTGTGTGAAAGTAAACAATTACCTAAAGTACGGTAGGTACACTCCTTGTCTAGAGACTAAATATAAAGTAAGAAAGGTTAGGTTTGGATTTTGGGTTTGCATGATACCCTGGTTTTGAGACTGTCTCTGGACTATCAAACACTGCTTACTCTAAAATTAAGAAGTAAATTATCTAAGTTTCCCACTGTTCACCTTGTGCTTATCTTTTGGTTCCACAAACTATTACTATTAGGCTTATATTTGTTTAGTAAACATTGAGAGAGATCTACTGATATCATATTCATTGAGTTTTAAGATGCAGACCTAGTGTGGGAATTTACTCAATACAATAATTAATTTCTGTGTAATAACATTCCCATGTCTGGACAAAGTACACAAAATCCACTGGTCTCAGTGACTTCAGCTTCTGTATCGAATTTTTCAAGAGCTAATCAATGATTATATTAACATGTAAAAGCTGTGGTTGCATTTTAATCACTAAAAAATCTGCAAAATATCTGCATTCTGAACAATTTTATTTAATGATAAAATCCGTCTTCTCCTTCTTATTAAATCCTCCGCATTCTTGTCATACCCTTCCTATGATTTTAAAACTCAAAACCGAGAGAAACTTATGTCAGAAAGCTATCGAGAAAGTCTCTTGGCTATTGAGCTATGGAGAAAGTTCACCGTCTTTCGGCCTTAACGACAACACTAGCCTCTAAACTCTTCACCTCTCTTCTATAACTCACTTGATAATTAAACTCCCTGGTTAATTCGACGCCTTAGATTCTCGAATACACTCCTATTGTCCTTCACGCCGGCTGAAAAGAGACATTAGCAGACAGTTCGGGAAGTAAAGACTAGACCCCGAGTGCTTGGCCGCAGGAACAGATCTCCTTGTTATGATGGGCGTGTTTACATCGCGAGCGTTCATCTAACCGCATGCAGTAGGCGGATTCATGCATGCGGTTTGTGGCATTAATTTTTTTATTCCCCATAAAACTGAGAGACTTGGTGTAATGCATGAGGAATACTGAATAGAGCTATATTAAATCATATATGTTGAATAATTGTAACGGGAAAGTTTATGTATAGATATGTACGCGATTATTGACGAAAGCTATGATGATTCCTTTGGTTCTTATTTTCTGCTGTTGTGTGGCACTTTCAGATTACCTTTGATAGCCAAAATCACCATCAAAATATCCTTCAACCAAACTCAGAAAGAAACTCACAAGAAAAAAAAAAAGCGAAGAAAAGGAAACAGAAGCTCAGCTCCGGCTCACGCTCGAGATGAACTGAGTCTTCCGTTTTAACTGGAGGGAAGGATGTCAAGGATTCCTCTCCCAGTAGGATGGCGTCAAGATCGTAGGCGGCCTTGGGAGTTTTTTTTTCTTTTCAGGATCGATAGAAGTGACGATGAAAGGAGGAAGGGAATAGCAAGGTAGAGGAAAGAGGAAGGGACTATAGAGGAAGGACGAAATTGAAGATAGATGTAATGATGGAGGAGTGGAGGAAGAAAAAAAAAAAATATATATATATATACATATATATATATATATATATATATATATATATATATATATATATATATATATATATATATATATATATATATATATATATATACATATACATATACATACACACACATATATATACATATATATATATATATATATATATATATATATATATATATATATATATATATATATATATATATATATATATATATATATATATATATATATATATATATATATATATATATATATATATCTATATATCTATATTTATATTTACATCTACATCTATATCTATATCTTTATCTATATCTCTCTCTCTCTCTCTCTCTCTCTCTCTCTCTCTCTCTCTCTCTCTCTCTCTCTATATATATATATATATATATATATATATATATATATATATATATATATATATATATATATACATATATATATATATATATATATATATATATATATATATATATATATATACACATATATATATATTTGTATCTCTCTCTCTCTCTCTCTCTCTCTCTCTCTCTCTCTCTCTCTCTCTCTCTCTCTCTCTCTCTATATATATATATATATATATATATATATATATATATATATATATGTGTGTGTGTGTGTGTGTGTGTGTGTGTGTGTGTGTGTGTGTGTGTGTGTGTGTGTGTGTGTGTGTGTGTGTGAAAGCGAGAACGAAGTATAGACAGCAATATAGTCTTTGAACAAGAAGAAGACTAAAGACAAGAATCAAAACAAACATATGTATAAAAAATAGTGTAAACCGTTGAGACGGGCTGTACAAGGTTAGCGTTCCCCAATATTTACCTCTTGTGTAGTGAGAACTTCGCTGATAATGACTTTGCGTTTGTGAAGAGCGAGTGTGATATACCTGTTTCATTATGACTAGGTTCGTTTTTATAAAAAAAAGTCTTATATTATATTTGATATATTATAAGTTAATTTGTATCAGCAAATTAGGTTTGCATGATGAATGATAATATACTCGCTGGGGTTCAGGAGATTCAATTAATTTTGTAATGTTGATTAACTTAATTGATTTGGGTCGGAGTTCATTGTGACGAATGTAGAAAGGTTATGGATGGGGATGAATAATTCCGCAATGCAAAATATGTAATTAGCGTTTTGATATTACATCTAGACATTTCTTGTATTATCAGTGACACACAAAGGCTTCCAGAATGGCAATCATTTAGCTGAATGAAGGAAACTCCTCTGACTTCCAAGGCACTTTTCCTTGTGCGATTTCGATTAAAGGAATCTTTCTTTCCAGAATTGTGGCTGAAAGGGTAGATCTATCTCCTTTCCTCGTTTTTTATTAAGACATTTTTCCTTTACTGATTTTGACAAATAGGATATTTTTATTTTCCTGAATTTGACTAATAGAGTATTTTTATTTCCCCAATTTTGACGAAAGGAACATCTTTCTTTCCCTGAAAAATATCAAATCACATTATTTGCTAACAATGTGAATTTTCATATGCATTTGACGTATTTTGTACATGGCAATAATTTACTCCTTCATGTGTGTGAAGACAAAGATGCGTGCAGTTCGCGCGTCACTACCGCGCATGCGCCCTGTGCGGACGCTTCTGTTCAGCTTATGGCAATTTATCATCTACGTCGACGCGCAGGGCACGGAGACGGAGAACGTCGCACATGACGCATTTGGTGAGGTCGTATCCTAAGGCCTATTTGTCTTTCCTTGCTCGTGTTCTTGGTCTTCACTTCCGATTTGAGATTTTTTCTGCGTTTTAGGGTTTAAGTTCCATTTTCTGTTCTCACGTTCTATTTTCGGCATCTGTGTTCTATTTTTTCTGTGGCATCCGCTTGTCCTTGCAGGGTTCACGTGCTGTGACTATTTTGGTGTCGACGGCAAGTTGACTGGAAGAATATTTTTTTTTGTCACTGATTTTAACGAAAATTATATTTTCTTTTCATGATTTCCACTAAATGGATATTTTTCTGACCTTGATTTTGACTACAAGGGCATTTTCTTTCCCTGATTTTGACTAAACGGATATTTTTCTGCCCTTGATGGATATATCTTCCATGATTTTAACCAAAAGGACTTTTCCCTGATTTTACCAAAGGCCCTTTTTCGTTCCATGATTAAAAGGACGTCTCCCCCTATAATTTTGATGAAAAGGATAATTTCCCCCCATGATTTTGACTAAAAGGATATTCTTTATATCTCATTTTCGTTAAAACATCGTAAACTGTAATACGATTCCTAAATCTATAATAAACGCACTTCTCAAAGACAAGGAAGCATTCGAAAGGATTGGTAAAACAAAGTAACTGAGTCATTTCAATAAGTATATTTCTAACAAATTTTTATCACATTTATTTCGAACTATCACAGGTAGCTAATTCGGCAAGACCACTCACAACCTTTGGTTGAATACATTTTCCAACAGACAGGCCCTTAGCCACAATCAAACTAATGACTTGCAAAAATGTCTACGAAATATATTCCAAAAATAGAATAGGTTTAATGATATAATATAAGTGAAGACAACGTTTGTAGATGATTAAACGAAATGGTTTAATGATACGGTTTTACGTCACGAACCCCTTCGCAAGGGCTAGGACGGCGCACTCTGTAAAAGGACTCTGGAATGGACAGTGAGAGACTGTTACTCCGAGTAAGCAGGATTCTTGGAGATCCTATATGGGCATAAAAAGTATTAAAACATAACGAACAGTATAGAAACCCTGTAAATATAGCAAATGAACCTTACAACCTTTTCCACTGTCATTTATTTCGAGGTGAAAGTACTCGTGTTCTGTAAATAACATAAATATTGGGAGTTAACATTGTGTAATCTGTTTTTGTGAAGAGGTTTCCAGGTTTGCTCGCAAAAATAAACTAATCTTTATTTAAAAAACAACAAGTAACAAAGAAAACATAAGCGCATTGACAATACTTAAACGTTACATTTTGTCATTTTAAAGATAAAAAAAGATAAAGCGCATTAACTTTTCGAATCTTTTTCTATCTGCGAAGTGTCCGTGCGTTTTCTCTGCGCTCGGAAGAAGTCGTCAATCTGTTCGAGGGAAAGTCCGCGGGTTTCAGGTACCGTGAGGCCCACCACCGCCGCCATCAGGAGGCACGACCCCGCGTACAGCCAGAAGACTCCGTGCTCTCCGATGGTGGATACGCTGGCAGGGAAGGAGTGGGCGGTGGCGAACATGCCCAAGAAGAAAAAGATGTACATGAGGGCAGCGCCCACGGCTCTGACGTTGGTGGGAAGAAGCTCTCCCCGAAGTAGGCAAGTGGCAGCTTCCAGCGCGCACACGAGAGGCATGTAAAGCAGAAGCACTGTGAGGGGCAGCCACGTCAAGTGGCTGAGGTCGGCGCTCTGGTTCTGCAGGTAGAAATACACCCCGAACACCGTGAGGCACACGGAGCAGGCGGCGCACGTGGCCAGCACGATGGCTTTCCGGCCCACACGGTCCACCAGGAGCAGGAAGGCGACGGTTCCTACGACGCGGATGCCACCCACCAACATGGCGCTCGTATAGGCATCCACTCCTGTGTTAGAGGACTTTAGGATCGTCACGACATATGTGGCGATGGTTATGTTGCCCGTGAACTGCAGGATGAACATGAGAAAGGTGAGCAGCACTAGACGCCGACTCACAGACGGTTCCCTCAGCAGGCGCAGCTGGTCCTTGGTGCCCATGGTGCTGCTGGAGGTGCGGTCGATTTGCTCGGTGATGGTGTTCAGCTCGGAGGAGACGTCGTAGCGTGGGCCTCGGTAGAACTTCAGTGCCTTATGGGCCTCCTCCAGGCGCCCCCGGGTCACCAGCCATCGAGGCGAGTTGGGCAGGAAGAGGAGGCCGATGAAGGGGGGGATGGCCGTCACGAAGCCGCACACGAGGCTTACGTGGCGCCAAGACAAGCCAGTGCTCCCGACGACGTAAGCGAACAGGAAGCCAAGCTGTCTGGCTGTGTCGACGAAGCCAGCAAAGCGGCCTCGCACGGAGGTGTGGGCCACCTCTACTACATAATTGTTGGCCGCGGCGCCAGCAAGGCCCTGGGCGACTCCAAGTAGTGTGCGTGCCACCTGCACCATCCACACTGCCGGAGAAAAGGCTAGAGCCAGCCACAGCACCAGCGATAAGGGCATCGCTATCAGCAGGGTCACTCGCTGACCCAGTCGCAGATTTAACGCTCCGCCCAAAAGAGATCCCACGATGGCACCTATGTGGACCAAACTGCCTGTAATGACAGCATAATAATTTAGATTTCATATAGAGCTACAGGAATAAGAGACTGCTGTATATGCATCGTGATACAAACGAAACTAACATTGTCAGTCCAAGATATAACGAAAGAAAACAAAAATATGACTTGTAATGAACATTAATAAAATCAGAATAACTGCAGTAACTTGTACACACATAATGTAACGATAAAAAAGTTTTACTCCATGGCGGTATTTAATTTCAGTTTTGATTAGTAATATAACTGTTTACCGTTTATCACTCACCAAAGAGCGCCACCTGGGCTGTGTCGAGAAAGATGTCCGTCGTGTTCGGATCCGTGAGTTGCGGCAACGTCACACCAGGGAGACCCACGATCGTGCCGATTGCTAAGTGGGTGAGGGAAGCCATCACCACACCCACTGCCTGTGCATAGAACCGAAGGGAAGTTACAAAAATATTTTAGGCAAGAATTACATGGTATGCTTCAGGGTGCAAAGTGCCTATTGAAAATAGACTCGGCTGTTCATGTATATGGTTGGATGATGCAATTGCTTTAATACAAAATTGTAAGCTTAAAAACGCGTGATAAATATACTATGATTAATCCATAGGAAAATGCATTCGTTTGACATTAATTTTCCATCATCAACATGAATTTGAATACATTTTCACTGTGTTACCAGGCAAGTATGTAAAGGAAATGAAAAAAAAGCTGTACACTTTATCTGTTTGGCTTATATATTCTTGCTGTTCTTAAAAGAGCCTTTGTTAATCATACTCATAAAAGATACCTGGAGGCACGCTTGGATCTATTTATAAACGTATAATTTCCTTGAATTTTATCTCCATTCTGTTTACTAATTAAAATTATTGTTGTTTCTATCTATATCTATCTATCTATATACGCATATGTTATATATCTATCTACATTTTTATGTCTATATATATATATATATATATATATATATATATATATATATATATATATATATATATATATATATATATATATATATATTTATATTTAACTTACACTTGCATGGTGCAAGAAAAATCAGGGATGGGGGATACCTGCCTAAATTGCATCTCACGATTTTTGAATAATATGTTGTTACATCGTTTCTTTCATAAATATTTCTAAAAAAAAGTATCTCTAACTTTGTGTGGTTAAGCGTGTGTTAACTGAATAACTAATATCTTAATATTGTCTGATGTAAGATCAAGTTCCAATACTCATGGTAAGTCAAATTCCTTTCTAAAAATAAGTAAAGTAATTCATATTCGTATTTGGTTGCCCAACGAAAAAAATGTAGGTGAATAAAGTTTTCCTTAAATGACCATAGACACGTAGTGCACAAGGAAGTCCACCCCTAAATTATGACGTCATCGGACCTAGGGAGATTCCCTGCACTCAACACCGCTTTTGCCTCAGGGGACGGAGCTGGGGACGAAGAGAGAGGGGCTGCTCACCTCAGCAAACGTTTTTTGTTTTTGCAACTAAATGTTAATGTCTTTCTTATTTCTTTTATATATCAAATCTTACTAGTATTGTATATTTTCTCTCTCTTGCTTAAAGTTTTCTTCGTTTCATTCATAACG